AAACAAGAAAAGGCAATGGTGAAATGGACTTCAGTAAGTTCTATTGCAGTCTAAATAACTGCTCATCTTAACTAGGAAAATACAGGTTTTCAACTCAACCATCTGTGGAAATACTTTGAGTCCAGGTTACCCAAGGAGCCCAGACCTTTTAAATAAAGGTCATTATGAGAAAATTTACCTATGAAATTTACAATCAAAGCCCTATACAAAAAGACCCAGGTCAGGATCTCAGCTTGGAAGATAGCTTGGGTGTGTGGGAAGGAGCAGCAATGGAAGAAGCTGAGCTGTAACCAGCAAGAAAAAATTTCATGTCCGAGTCAGCTAGTTTTCAATACTTTGTCTCTCAGTCTAATCTAGTCTAGTTAAAAACAAAACAAAACAAAACAAAACAAAACAAAACAAAACAAAACAAACTTAAATCAATTACAAGTTGGTGAGAGAAGAAAGCAACTGCGTTTAAAATGCAGCACTTCTGGAAAGTTAAAGGACTCTCAGGTGTTCATAATTTGTTCAATTGGACTGCTTGCTTCTGAACATCAAGCCAAGCAAGACGCACGCAACTAGAGCACAGTCATTTTCAAGCATGAAATGTGTTGGCAGGCCATGGGGAACGCATGTGATGGGATGGATCCCAGCAGTCGTGTTTCAGAACATGGGGAAAGCACAAAATGGGGTAAGTACATAAAGAATCACAGACTTCAGCTTTCACACATCATACATACACAAAACAAGGAGGCAGTGGTCTTTCTTACTGACGGCCTGTCCTTAGGACCATCGTGTGTAAAGCCATAGTTATACATATTATAACTCAGGCATGAGTTAAACGGGCTTTTCTTGGTTCCCCGTAGAAATTTGGCATTCCACGTGTGTGGAAATATAAACTGAGTTTTAAGCAGCTAATTAGAAGCAAACATTTGGAAGGCAACTCTATTATCATTTGAGGGTTATCCAAATTAACCTTTCCATACAAATGTCAGTTTTTGACTCCTTGGGGGACTGTTCTACTTGGCACGGTCATTCAGAGCTTTAGTTATATCCACTGCTAGTCTCTTGACCATTTAATTTTTTATTGGATGCCTATGAAAGTTATGTGAGGAATAGGGCCCTCCCTGGTGGTGCAACTGCTTTATAGAGCACAGCACTATGAAGCTACCGCAGCCATTGCAACCTGAGTTCGCCCCAGTCAGGGAGCTGACCCACATGGCCCAGCAGACCTCTCCTGACCCACCTGCTGCTCCCCTCAGCAGTGTATTTCAGTCCATCTGCCTGTTCCGCTCCCCACTCTTGTCTTTGGTGAGTCTTCTCACCTGCCCCTCCCCACCCCCACACCCCTGGTCTGTACCCTCAGTCTGAATGTATAAATAAATAAATCTTAAAAAAAGAAAAAAGGAAGTTATGTGAGGTGAGAACCATACCTTGAAACCAGTCCCACTATTTGGCAATTCTAATTAAAACTTAACTTTTAAGATGAAGGGTGCTGTTTCAAAAATGCAGTTTGATTTTAATGATGTGTTTTCTTTCTTCACTTCCCTATTGATGATTCTCATTTTTGTGGTTAGTCAAGTTAAGGAAAGTCCTTCAGTTTGGAGAAAAGTGTTTATGGGATCCATACAACTTTTTGAAACAGAGGACCAGGTGAATTACATCAACTTTTCTTCTTCCTTGGTCTATATTTGTAGGTTTTTGAATTTTCTCTGAGGGCTTCATGAACACTACCTTTCTCACGAATGTGGCACAAAATAAGGACAAACTGGATGTTTATTTCTACCTTCCAGGCATGTACTGCATGTAACCAGTGGGGAGTGTGTTCTTTACCAGCACCAATAAAATAAGATTATTCCTTCTGCATCCCTTTGGGCCTTTCCCCATAGTACTGGGATGATTCCTTTGTCTGACTGGAATCTTCTGGGAAGTTTTTAAAAAACACTGATGCCTATTCCACTACCCCAGAACTTATGGCCTGGGCATGAGGATTTTTAAATAGTAGCTGTTCTGTAGACTCAGTTGACTTTATATAGAAACCTACTGACTTGAGCAGGACTTTAAAATTCAATTTAGGTCAACAAATACTTGTTGAGTACTTCGTCTGTGTGAGGAACACACAATCCAGCAAGTAGCTGAAATCGAGTGCTGGCAGACTGAACTGATGCAAGAGGGGAGACAGGCAGGGGGATAGAGGGTAATTTATATAAAATCCTGTGTAAAGCAGCCTCATCTCCAAACTCAAGTAATTTACTGTAAGATTTCAAAGGAATTAGAATTATATTTGTTCAGACTGGTAGAGCAGAAATATTTCACAGAGGCAGTGGCATTTGAAGTAGACTTTAAGGAACTGGCAAGATTTTCCTTTCAGGAAAGGAGAAACATGAAGTTGGGAAGCATGAACCTGTGTTAAGTTTGCTCACACACTGGGTGTGTTTGCTTAGCAGTGGATGACAAGTTTCGAGATCATACTAGAGCAAATCTTGAATTCCACAGGGCAGAACAAATGGCATATGGCTGATTCCAAGAAGACACCGAAGATTTGACAATTGGGGAATAATGTGATTGGTGCAGCACTTAAAAGAGAAAATCTGATGCTGAGATCTGGGCTAGACTTAAGTGAGGAGAAACAATAGGACTAGTAGAAGTCTCTTATGGTTGAAGTCAGAGTACTGAGGGAAATAAAGACGGTAGTGAATGTTTGAGCTGAGGAACTGCAGGGGATGGAAATATAAAACAAATCAGTTAGAATAACAGGATTATTCAAGCAATTGGCTTGAGAAAATCATGACTTTGACACGTTTTATTTGAATTAGTAGGGATGTGATAGGGCCATTAATAGAAATCATTAAACTAAGTGGAATAATGGTTTATGAAAGGAACTGATGTGGCCTCCCTGGTGGCTCAAGGGGTTAAGTCTCAGCACTATGAGGCTATCGCAGCTACTGAAACATGAGTTGGAGCTCCAGCCAGGGAGCTGACCCATATGGCACAGCACACCTCCCATGTCTCACCCGCTGCTCTCCTCAGCAGTGTATTTCAGTAGATGTGACTGTTCTGCTCCCCACTCTGTCTGTGGAGAATCTTCTCACTCTTCAGGCCTGCATCCCACCTCTTATATACATAAATAAATAAATATTAAAAAAAAAAGGAACCGATGAATTTGATTTTGGATGTGTTGAGTCCACATATATCCAGCAAAACTAAAATAGTATCCTTACTGTAATTGGATTCCAACTGCATTTTTAAAGCGGGACCCTGCTTAAATTAAATACAGTGGTTCCAATAAAGGGAGACTTGTCTTACAGGCAACATTTGTCAATTTCTGAAGACATTTTGAAGGGGGAGACAGAAGCTGGTATGTAGTGAGTAGAGGTCAGGGATGTGCAATTCAGCCCAGACGTCAATAATGCTCAGGTTGAGAAACTGTTTTAGCATTGTTGTTTAAATGTCAGGATTTTTGTTAGTGATATTTAGGTTAAGTAGCTCCATCTAGTGGTCAAATGAAATATTTATCCTAGTTCTGTGTTGATCATGAAAGGACAACAAATTAGAAAAATACTCAGAAAGAGAAGGGTGTCTCTTCATGAAGGATTTACAGAAATAGATAGGATGGGGTGTACAATCTGGGGGGTACTCCTGGAGCTTGAGGGTGCTCTTTTCTTAAAAGAGACTTCAAAATAAAAGACAACACTGAAATAGAACATTTTACAAGAAGCATTTTGTATGAAATATTTCCTATTTCATTACAGTTATCTATATTTATAGTGTTGTGCCTGTAGACATGAAAAAAAGAAATCAAATAGTTCTTCTGAATAACTGACTGAAATTTTTATTTCTTAAGAATGTAGCCATCTTATTTCATTAGGAAATAGAGTGAAAATAAGATGCCTTTAGAGTCATGAGTAATGTAACATGAATAACACTAACAACTTGTATTTAATAAAGAATAGCTTTCTTCTAGAAGCAGCTTTCTATGTGCCTTATATCTTACCTTCCTACTCGACTGTAAGCTCCCTGAAGGCAGGGACTATGCCTTTCTCATATCGTTGTATCTCCCACAGCCTTTGGCATAACACCTTACACACAAGTGGCTTTTTGAATGAATGAATTTATTTTTACACAGGAAATCCTTGCTTTGAAGTAACAAATATTTCAAGTCTTCCTGGGCAATTATTGTTTGTTCACTTGAGTAAGATGCCAGCTGAGGGTGCCTGACTCTGAACACCGGAGACTTAGGTATACAGAGCTGGCATCAGATACCTGCAATCCATTTAACCAGTGAGTCTAGAGCAAACTATGCTGTGATCATCACTGTCAGGGCAGTTGTGGACTGGCGTGTGAGTTGTACATTCATTCATCCAATATTTATTGCATGTCTACTTTATGCTAAACACATTTCTAGGCACGGCAGATGTCAGTGTGAACCTAAGTTTTTAAATTCTTTAAGTTGGGGGGCAGGTTTTGGACTGATGGACTAGCATCAAGACGCAGAGATCTCGTTCCTCCCAGTTCTCCAGATAGTGTAGTATTTTCTACATAGAAAATAAGATTTGATGAAAGATGGCAAAGTAGTCCACAGCAGCTTGTCATCTACAGTCACGAATCTGCTGGAGCAAGTGGGAAAACAACAATCTCCCTTCATTCTCCCTCTTTACACCTCTGTCTTCCTCATTGCCTAGATACTTTGGGGAGCAGGGAGGAGTGACAGGGTCAGTATTTTATGGGGAGAGGACGATGACTCTTCCATATTTTGCAAGTGATAATTGAAGCCAGTTATTTTTAAAACGACCCCACAGAAGCTTTCTTTCTGGTTGATTGGTTAGCAACTCCTTAGTACCAGAGACTAGAGACCCATAAAGTCAGAGAGAAAAAAAAAAACCACTCACCATTGTATCTGAAAGAAAATGGTGGAGACAGATTGGGGCTTTTCAGCTACAGAATAAGTGCATTGAGCAACAGTGAAGGTGTCAGTGAACTTTTTGTATCTCTTGCACATTTTGATACTTTATTGTGTACATTTGTGAGTTGTATGGCATTATCTCCTAGTGCTAAGTAGAAGCTGATTTAATGAGTCACCAAAATTAATACTATGGATATAATCAGTGAAAGGTAAGTGAAACCTCTTCATCTGTTTCCTTTGCATTGTTTGTTTGTGGTACCAAAGGTCACTACTGCCTAACTCCTCTGAGCCCAAGCCTAGGGCTCCTAATTGTTCCTAGCAGAGCCTAAAGGTTCCAAACACAGCAAGAGGCAGGGGAGCATGCCAACATTTTACCCAAAGCAGTGGATGGCAATTGCATGGCATCTTTGGTTCATTTGTCTTCTCATATTTTTGCTGGAATCTTTAAAAAGGTACAACCTTACATTTCTCCCCCAGTTGAGCCGGGAAGAGTCCCCGACTGACTTACTTAAAGTACTCTTTGCTACTGTCCAGCAGTGTGGGAACTTACTCAAATCCAGTTGCTTGGAAACCACCATGATGGGCGTGTTCTCCTTCCCCCTTCACAATCTGTCCCCTTACACAGCAGACACCCAGATATTCTTAAAGTTCATCACTCTCTACTACACTCCGAGAAGAGCATGAAAACACCATTGTGCTCTCTATGGAGGAAAACGCGGAGAAAATGTCAAGTCCTTTCGTGGTGAGAGATCCGTAGCGACTGCCAGTGGGCCGGATGGACACAGGTGGTGGGATCTGCTGGTGCCACTGAGCTGGAAAATGGACCAAATGACATGTTACAGTCAGCGACTACAATCTAGCAGCACCTTGAGGGTGCATTCTGTGTTCACCCCAACACTCCCAGTGGGACATAGGTCTAGCATTAGGAGGTGCTAGGTACTCTGTTTGGCTTCCACTTCCAGAGGTTTCTGGTCTGCACTCTCTGAGGTGCTCCCTTGAGAGTCTGAAAAGCCATGTTTGTAAGAGAGTAATAAAATTCCCTGCCAGGAACAGGAAAACTGGGCTGGTAATTGCTCCAACCTTTAATTTCAAATCTAATTCATTCTAATCCAGGAAGATCTGGGGATACGAGGAGGAAGAATGGGGCAATAATGTGATTTCTTAAAATGATCCCTCTCATTGACCGAGTGTGGGCCAGCGTAGATAAGGATTATGCACTCTCAAGCTGGAGACGAGAAGCCTGTGAAAATGGAAAGCAAATGAATGAAATATCTAGCACATCCTAGCCACCCACTGCCTGCCCACCATCCTAATTAGTTTGTAATGAGTTCTAAGAAGACTTGCAAAGTGGCGTATGTGAAATCAGTGATGATAGTCCAGGGACAAAAGAGGATGTCTTAGAATTGCCATCTTCACCCAGCACTGTCTACAGGAGCTCCTGATTTAGCAGACACTACCCTTAGGCTTGCACATGGCCTGAATGAAATATCCATCTCGATGGTGCAGAAACGGACTCAGAAATTACCAAGCAGTCTCCTGTTTAGGTTTTTTGGGGTCCTGGGTATGAAGAAGGGCAAGTAACAGGTGGAGATCTACATTTTAAGCATTCAAGTAGCATCCAGACACTTCATTTTTGGAACATAATAGGTCTAGTCTTAAAAAATAAATACATTTTTAGGCTGCCAATCACACAAAAGTGTTCAATTGATTTGATTACACTAAGTATGTCCGGGCTCGCAGGGCAGGCCACGTTGCTTTCCAGGAGACGGGAGCTTATTCTGCTCCTAACTCAGACAGGCAGGAAGTCATGTTGGGGAGCCTGTAGGGAATTTAACCAAGTCCTGCATTTCCCTGCCCCTCTCTTGAATTCCAATTGAGGAGACAATGCCTCCTATTGTTGGCGCTGTGCAATTAGGACAAGTGTTGAGAGGTGAGCCAGGACAACTGTACTGAGAACTCGGCCTCCAGAGGGCAGGATTTGGACCAGAGTCCTCAGTTTCAGGACTTACTGGTACAGTTTCTTAGTTGGTGACCTACTTCTTTCTGACATGGTGGTGTGTGAAATGGTTAAGGGACTTAGCCTTCTAAAAAACATCACTGGCCTCTCTTCCCGTAATTCTCCCAGGGAAAAGTATATTAGAGTCAGTTTTCCTCATTGTTGAATTTCTATTTGAGCCTGAGAATAAGGGAAAGTAACCATTTCCTCCAAATGTTAGACCTAGGGGAAAATGGCGAGTAAGACTCCTCCTTGGTACTAGGAGAGGCATGTACCTGGGGTGGACTTACAGATAGCAGGATCCTCTGGTTCTACACAGTTACTCTTATTTGTTAATCTTCGTTAATCTTATTAAACTACTAAAGCATAACACATTGCTTAAATCAACTAACTTTTTTAAAAGGGCTCACTCTTTGAATTAAGGAATGTGTCTCAAAAAAATAAAACAAAAACCAAAAAACCCCACAAAACAAAACAACTCAACTAAACAAACAACTAAAATTATAGAGAAGAGGCATAGAGTGTACAAATACATCAATAAGGATTAACTTGCTAAATCTTTTTGAAAATTAGGAACATGACACAGAGAAACAATGAAAAAAACTGGATTTTCATCTGAGCTTTGGGTACTAACCTCTCTGCATCTTAGTTTCCTCAGCATTTAAATGAAGGTAACAACAACAATAATCTCATGGCTTTGGGAGGATCTAAGGGTACAATTTTATAAATTACAGGTCACTATACAAATGCCACTTAATTTTTTTAAGACTGCTCTCTATTATTAGTCTGACTGTGGGGCTCAGTTAATAAATATTTGTGGAATAAATTAATAAATGAATGACACTGGCAAGTTCTGCTTGTGGAGATACAGCCGGGGACATGACAGGAAGCGCAGTCCAGAGGATGGTGCATGGAGTAAGGAGCCCACAGAGACGGCATGAAGATGCTGGATGATCAAAGTCCAAGCAGAGGAGTTGCAATTCCAAATATTGTAAATTCTCTTTTGGAAGAAGTTCAAGTACATAGTAGTATATAAAAGTACAAAAGCCGGCCCTCCCTGGTGGCACAGGGGGTTAAAGCACTGCACTAAGAAGCTGAAACCACTTCTGCATGAGTTCAATTCCCGCCTGCCCCGGAGGTGACCACATGGTGTGGCAGACCTCTCCTGACCCGCCCGCTGCTCCCCTCAGCAGTGTACTTCATTGATCTTCCTGTTCTGCTCCCCACTTTCTGGTGAAGTCTTTCACTACCCCTGAGTCTCTGGCTTGTACCCCAGTTCTGTAAGCACAAATAAATAAATCTTAAAAAAAAAGTACAAAATCCTAGGCAACAAGCTTGAAATGACTTTAAAAGATAGGTGATGGAAGCAACCCAGGTGTCCAAAAATAGATGACTGGATAAAGAAGATGGGGTACATATCCACAATGGAATATTACCCGGTAATCAAAAAGGATAAATTTATGCCCTTCTCAGCAACATGAATGGAGCTGGAAGGGATTATGCTCATCAAAATAAGCCAGAAGGAAAAAGAAAACTACCGAATGGCCTCACTTACAGGAGGAATGTAGAGGAACTAAATAAGGAATAACTATCGTGAGTAAAAATCAAAATCATCAGGCAACTATAGATCAGAAACATTTCGTAGGGGAGGAAGAAGGGGAAGGACCAGGACAAGGGTGGGAAGAGCACAAGGGGACTATGGTAATGGTGCACAGGTGAATGGGTGGTGGGAATTTCATGGGGAAACCATACATTGTACAAAAATGAAGGATGGTAAAAAGAATATATTTAAAAAATAAACTGCAAAAAAAATAAAGTCCATCTCTTAAGCATTAAGATATAATGTTACCAGTTCATTTATGGAAATGTACTATTCTATCCTTTAGAAAAAAAGGATTTTAAGCTGCCTGTCGCACACCACTGTTCAACCACTGCCATTACACTACCGTATATATCCAGCCTTGCAGTGCACGACACGATGCCAACTTCGTTCTTGGCTGACAGTGTGTACCATCCAGCATCTGACTTCTTGGCGGGCTGAATGAGGAGGCAGACGTAACCTGTCGCATCCTGATGCATACTGGAGACAAGAGAGAAGGCAGGAAAGACTTAAGGTTTGGGAAAATGTTTCAGTGCCAGGCTTGCCCATCCTTCTGTGACCCCCCAGGGGAAGAAAGCAAGCACTAGAGGCAAAAAAAAAAAAAAAAAAAGCAAAAAGTAATGCAGTGGGTCTATGACCTGTTCTTGCCTTTGGCATGGAACCAATTCTTGTGGGGTCATTGTCACCCCCTTGTCACAACCAAAGTCGAGAAAAATCTCTTTTCTAAGCTAGATTGGAAATTTCAACAAGGATTTTGTTAGGAAGCCATGCAACAGTAGACCATGGTGAGAGGTAGATGAACTGATAGGTGTGAAGATGGTATTTCCTAATGTGACCAGCTGGGTATCCATGCTATTTAGTTTAGTGAACTTCAGCAGCAAATCAGAATGCATTTCCCTCAGTTTTCTCTAAAAAAAATTTCAACCTTGGCTGTAATTGCAGTCATAGATAATTACATCAGAGTTTCAGGCTGGTGTTAACTTTAGAATAGAGGACTCTGTTCTCGCCTGTTTTGCCAGAGAAAAATCCTGACCTATATATACATACAGACTCCTTAAATGCCAAAAATCTGTAAAAGCCAACAGATACAACATCCTCTGGGATAAATTCAGTGTACTGTGAATTCATTTTCTGGAGAAATTTTTGTACACAAATTGCCTTTGTTTGTTTGCTCTCTTGTGGCATCAAACCAAAATGACAAAGAATCAAGGATGGTCTAGGGAGATCAATGGAGAAGATTTCTTCTCTTGAAGGAACTGGATCCTTAACATTACTTAAAATTCCAATCAAGTCGTGATGGGTTGGGTAGGAGTGTTGCATCCCCCTTCCAGGTTTGTTTCACTGTATTTTATTTAAGCTTATTTTTACTGTCAAAGAGGTTTTTCTAGGTAATTTGATGCATGATATATGACAAAAAACAAGGCAGCCTCAACCACAAATTGCTCATATATTTTCAATTTAAAACTTAAGGTTCAAAGCTGTGGGACATCCATGTAATGAACTACCCGTCAGCAGCAAAGAGGAATATTCATGTACATTTTTTGATACATGAAGGACGATCAAATGAATTGTACTAAGTGGGAGAAGCCAGGTTCAAAGGCTACAGACTTATGTGGGTGGCCCAAGAAGCCCTATTGAACTTGGAAGTCCCTGTGAACATGAGTGGGGGTTGTACCTGATCCTCCCTCTGGTAAAAGAGATGGTCTCATTGTCTTTCTTCCAGAAGAACACAGGTGGAGGCATGCCTATCACTCGACACTCCAGCCTCACGGGGTGACCTTCAGGAACACCACAGTTCTGCAGTTTTTCCAGGATCACTGGTGCTTTCTTCACTTCTTTGGCTAAAGGAGAGAAGGGCAATTTTTGTTTAACTAGCTGGTTCCTTGGGGTTCGTACCTCACACTCACGACAGTCCTGGAATTCAGCAGAGTGGACTCTACCATTGTACCTCCTTTTCAGAACACTTGTCATGAGTTAGTAAAGAAGACTGCCTTCATAGAAGCTCCAGAAAGTATTTTAAAAGAAATGAGGGAATCATATCCACATATCCCTTAGGAGACAACGCTCAAAGACCTGGATGCTGACATGGGGTGTAAATAGTAGGTGTATAGGTATCGCATTAAAAGGTGTCTTTAATGCTTAAGTGTACTTAGTACATTTTGAGAAAGTGTACTTTATGCACTAAATATATATATATTTTAAGATTTATTTATGTTTACAGAACTGGGGTACAGGCCAGAGGTGTGGTGGGTGAGAGGATTCACTAGAGACAGAGTGGGGAGCAGAACAGGCAGATTGACAAAGTACACTGCTGAGGGGAGCAGTGGGTGGGTCAGAAGAGGTCTGCCACGCCATGTGGGTCAGCTCCCTGGTGGGGGATCGAACTTGTGCTGTCGTAGCTTCGGAGAGCTTCACAATGCAGTGCTTTAACCCGTTGTACCAACAGGGAGAACCCCAAATGTATCTTTTTTTTATAGAATTTTATTGTGAGAAGCTATATTAACTATGCTTCAACTGTTTGTTTTGAAATATTGCTACTGACAAGTTGAAAGAACTCTATTAAAAAAAAGCACAAATGATACCAAAGGAAAAGCCAAAGGAGGCTTTTCCCTCTCAGAACCAAAGGAGGTAAAGTGTTCTGACTCAGGGTTCCAGAGTCAATATTTTAGCAAGACAGTGGGGAAAAAGTAAAAGCTTATAATCCATGTATTCTGAAGAAGGAATTTTCCCTACTATGTTGGGGGTCAGGGGGAAAGGTGAGAAAAAGAAAAAATAAATATGCTGGAATGGCCACAAAGAGGGTTATCACTCTGACACCACCCTGATTTCCTTCAAGGAGCGCAATTGGGAGGCCACAGGAGAAAAAGCCCAGTGCTCAAACACAAACCTTCTAACTTTGGCTGGACCATTATCCCCAAGGGCTGGCACCTTGGGGTGATAATAATTTGTTCTTATCTTCAGGATTATTTTCAGGATTACAGTGTTTTTTGTTCATTTCATCTTATAAAGTAAAGTTTCCCTTGCCTTATCAATTCAACCTTTTTGAGTACCTTCCATGATTCAGAGACTGAGCCAGACACTGGAGATACACAGAACAAGTTAGAATCTCTGACCTTAGAAACTCACTGTCTCTTCTTGGATGCAAAGGATTAAATAATTTCTCAGAAGGTTGCAAGTGCTTTAAAAGTCTCCTCCTTTCTTCCTTCATCAGGTCTAAGTGACCACAGCAAAAGAGGATGTACCTGGGGATTCATTGCGCATGGGCACTGACATCTGAATGAAGTTGAAGACAGAGTAGTAGTTTGCTAGACAAAGAAGGCCCTTGAAGCAAAGGCACAGAAGCTTGGCTGGGGGATTGGGGAAGAGTCTGTTTGATGAGCTATAAAGAAAGTGATCTGAATTTAGTGATTGTTAATTAGCTGTTGATTACCTGATTGATTATTATAGTGATTCACATTTATTACATGCACTTATGCACAAGGCCCATGCTATAGTGTTAAGTTGCTGATGTGTCTTTGAAGACAGCGTAAGAAATAAGAGTCCTTACCACAGTGAAGGAGAAATGGAGATTGGATATGGTAGGGCAATGGACTAAGGAATTCTGTCAGAAATACTGCATATTTGGGCAATAACTTTAGGGGGCCCCAGCTGCAAACCTTACCTACTACAGTGAGCTCCAGACTAAAGGAATTCTGCCCAGTTTTGTTGGTGGCTACACATGTGTAGGTCCCAGCATCGCGTTGAGTGAGTGGGTCAATGAGCAGAGAGTGGACTCCAGTCTCCCTGATGAGCATCTTGTGGGAGGCGTCTGGTAGCACAGGTTGGCCATTGAGCAGCCAGGTCAGCTCCGGGGGTGGTAAGCCACTCACCTAGTAAATGATAGGGCAGCTGATGCAAATGACAGGTTGACAACAGGCAGATTTATTTGGTGGCTGAATTCTTCATCCTCACTAGTGCCAAATCGATAGTAATAGAAAACATGGGTGGGAAGCTCTCTTTGCAGGGCATCAGACCAACAGGGGTCTGGATGAACTTCTTATGAATTGAAATTATGTAATATTTTGACCCCCAGTCAGGTCATGATTACAATAAATAAGGAGCTAAATAGATAAGAGACCTGCAGCATAGGTCTCACAAATGATATGTTTTATGCCTAAGAAGAAATAGGTAGCCAAGAGAAAGGGCAGCTGTTAGAGTTTTCACAATGTATTATAATCATTGGGGAGAATCTTATGGTTAAAAGTGGAAGAAGTAACAAACACTCCTAAACATGATTTTGAAAGCCATTGGGAGAACAAGAGTCACTTAGAAAAGTGAACTCCACAATTTCTTAACTTCAAGACTTTACTAATTTTTAAAAAAGATTTATTTATGCATATAAGAACTGGGGTATAGGCCAGAGGTGTGGGAGGTGAAAGAATTCCCCAGAGGACAGAGTGGGGCACAGAACAGGTGGATTTACTGAAATATACTGCTGAGGGGAGCAGAGGGCAAGACAGGAGAGGTCTGCTGTGCTATGTGGGTCAGCTCCCTGGCTGGGGATCAAACTCATATTGCAGTGGTTGGTGATAGATTAATAGTGCTGTAATCTTTAATCTCTGTGCCACCACAGAGGCCAAAGCCTTTATTAATTTCAGCTAATTTTCCATTGTATTTTATATCTTTGACTGGAGCTTCTAGAAGGGTTTCTCTTTATAATGAGAGATATCTACACTATTCTGTTGAACTTTATTTTTGGTTGAAAAATTAGAATATAGAATAACTAAAGGTCATAGAGACTGATTAGTATGAGAAGTCAGCTTCTGTTCCCAGTCATATTTTCATAACTATACATTTCTGAAAGGCCATATTTTATAATGACTCACTCCAAGGATGCAAAAAAATCACTTCTGGCTTACTAGTAATAAAGAATTTGTAGGTACCATCAGCAAGTATATCCCTTCTTTGGCTATCTTTTACAAATGCAGTACATTCAATACTGTACATATGTAATTTTTTTTATTAAGATAAAAAGGCTTAAACATTTTATGAACTGCTGTTGTCTGTCATTAAATATTCTAAAAGTGATCTCTCTCATCCCTAATCTCCCTTCCTCTCCAAGAATGACACACACAAATAATAAGTACAAGTAAACAAGACAAAAATGAACAGATTTTGAACCAAGGATGGGTGCCATAGTCTACCTTACAGTCCAGTCGACAGAGGCGCCCCTCGTGAGCTACCATATCCCCGGGAGCCTGTAGAAAATGTGGTCGGAAAAAGCGTTCCTGAATGGGCTCTTTGTCTCTTTCTTGTACTCGGGACCTTCCCCTACAACAAGTATGTTCCAGCATTAAACATAGAAACCAATTTACAAATTTATGGCAACTGGCATATAGGCAAGGGAAGAGAGCCAGGAGAACAGATATTTGGGGTGGGAGGATGGTGGGACGGGAAAAGAGGTTGCTGGATCATAAACAAATAATAAATAATGGGGTGGAGCATGCATGTTGTACACGGTAGGATTATTTTGTGAGATCTGTAATCAAATATACAGGCTTTAGCTTCTTTATTTCTGAGTCATTCTGGGGTAAGTGACGCAACCCCCTTTGCCTTGGGTTTGACCAGTTGTTCAAGTTTCCAAATAAATCAGTATTCAATCTGCACCTCAAATGAGGCTCAGAGCCAAAAAAAAAGTCCTGTTTATTACTCAGAGCAAGTCAGCGGCAATCCTATGTCTCTGAGTAATAAAATTTAGCCTAGCTATAAATTAGAGCATTAAAGGTGACCATGAACTTCAACTAGTTAAGACTGACCAACAGGAACAGCTGTTGCTAAAGGAAAAAAAAAGGAGGTGTAGTTGCAATGGTGGTGAAATACTGTATCGAAACATGGGTCACTATTTTTGTTCTTTGCTAAGTCAAATTTAATTCATCCGTGTCAGCAACTAAGGAATGCTTTGCTAAGACTTTGTGGCACCATAAGACTCAAGGGAAAGCCAGACACTTTCTTCTCAGTGGTTTGTAAAATCAGAAAAGAAAGCCAACTTATATATTAGAAACAATAATGGCAACAAAAACTCTCAATCTATGTACATAGAAATGGTTTGTTTTATTAAAGCAAATGTGATAATTTAAAAGTCAATTTATATATTTTGTGCACAAATACTGCTACAGATTTTGAACCATTAAAAGGTGCTGTAGACAAACTTATTGTGTTTATGAATCACCTGGGCATCTTATTAAAATGTGGATTCTGATTCAATAGGTTTTGGAATTCTATATTGCAATATGTCCCCAGGTGGAGTTCCCAAGAGAACTATACTCTAACAGTTTCATTAAAGATAACCTCATTTCTTTGGAATTTGGCATAAAAATTTTAAACAGTTCTACCCATGTTTACCATTCTAACAAGAAAGAGATTGATGAACAAATTAAGGGGGAAAGGACTGTAAGAAGATGTTCACCCTTTCAAGAGAACACGCTCATACTTGGAACTTCGTACTTATTGTGGTGGGAGAGTAGCTTCTTGGGAGGGGCTAGAGAAGAGAGATTCTTGTAGTCTTTACCTGTGAGACTGACTATCAGATGTTACTCTACTTCGAATGGGCAAGCTTTGTACCATCAAGTGGCCAGAACAGCTGATTCTCCCCTGAGAAACAGAAGATAAATGAGATTAAAATAAGAATTCCACATTTTTCCAAATTTATAAATTTATAGAATTTAATTTTTCTAGATTAGAACATTATGAATATTTTCCTTAACTATTAGCAGTTTTCTTGAGGGGGATGAAAACTATGACTCAAGTGACTGTTAATGTTTCAGTGGGAGGGATTTTTAAGGATATTGAGATGACTTCTCTTTTTAAGAAAAAATGAACCAAGCACAAATGTAAAAAAAAATTGAATTCTCAGAGTAGGTCTCTTCCTCCCTGGCTGCTTGAAGATCCACTGTCATTATGAATGACACAGCAACTGTCTAGATTGGATATTCATGACCAACTGACTGCTTCAGCAGAAACAAATGGCATGGACATCCTTCACTCTGGAAAGGCAACAGTACCTAAGACAAATTCGGAGGAAACTAGCTAAAATGTGCAAGCCCACCGCTGATGTCATCTCTGTATTTGGATTCAGAACCCATTTCGGAGGTGGTGAGACAACTGGCTTTGGCATGATTTACGATTCTTTGGATGATGCAAAGAAAAATGAACCCAAACATAGACTTGCAAGACATGGCCTATATGAGAAGAAAAAGATCTCAAGAAAACAGCAAAAGGAACACAAGAGCAGAGTGAAGAAAATCTGGGGGACTGCAAAGGCTGATATTGATGCTGGCAAGAAGGATTAAAGATTTTGCAGTGACTTTATCTGCATCTGTGGTGATTATGCAGATTGTCATGAGAGGATTAATACAAACTTTTATGTATGTGTTTGAAAATCTTTTTTGAATTTTTGTGCTTTTAGCATTCTCTATAGCCATATGCAGGGAGCATGGTCAACTATTTTTATGCTTTCCTCAATAGAGATAATTGTAAAAACTACCATTTTAATAAGAAGTGTGGGTGGGAGTAGAAATTATAGTTCTGAATTCCCTAGTCTATTAGTAGGTAAAGATATTTATTCTGCCACTATGTCTTTTAGGGGAATGATAAGCCTTTTTTTTTTTTTTAAGACTTATTTATTTATGCATACAAGAATTGGGGTATAGGCTAGAGGTACAAGGAGTGAGCGGATTCATCAGAGACAGAGTGGGGAACAGAACAGGTAGATCTACTGAAATATACTGCAGAGGGGGCAGCACTTGAGACAGGAGAGGTCTGCTGGACCATCCATGTCACCTCCCTGGCCAGGGGTTGAGCTCATGCTGCAGTGACTGCCAGTAGCTTCATAGTGCTGGAACTTAACCCCCTGTGCCACCAGGTTGGCCCCCGAATTTTAAGTCTTAATCTCATTCAGAAAAGGAAGATGAAAGTTATAACTTTTCCATTTTACTTAAAAAAAAAAAGACATTATGCATGTGATGGATATTCACAAGCCTTTATATGAAGTGATTTGCTTCTTTGTTAAAAAATAAAAACAATAAATCATTCTTTGATAGAATGGTCTATTGATGTGTAGAGAATCAATGAACTAATAAGCAGAAGGTTTAGCCCAGTAGGTCTGGGATATAAACACAGTGAGTACATACTACTGATTTCCTTTGAAAAAGAGGGTTGAGTATCTGACCCATTGTGGCTAACTGATCTTTGCTGTTGTGATACTGTGCTACAGTTAGCACACAATCACAATCATTCATTTCCCTCAGCAGTTGTTAGTAACTCGCATTTCCCATTCACAATGACATCAACTGCTCCTTCCTCATAGCATGGAGCAGAACCCTGCGTTCCCACCTGGGGGTTGGCAGCCATGATGGTATAGTTGCCATCATCATCACTGGTGGTGGATTCGATGTGCAACAAGCAGGTCCCGTCTCCTTCTCGGCTCATTTTGCAGTGCCCATTTCTCTTGGAAATCTGCTTCCCATCTTTAAACCAGTAAACCTGAAATGAAAAAAATCAAAGTAAATACACTGTTTTATACATCTGTGGAGGGTAATGAAGAAGGGAGTAGGATGAGGTAAGGGCTAAACCCCATCTCTACAAGTGACTCATCCCTTACAGAGCATTTAGAGAAAAACTATAAAACTTCTATGACACATGACAGTATAGTATGCTCCTTCATCTGTGATACAGAATATTTAAGTTCAAATGCTATGCAAGTTAGGATTGAAATAAAGCTTTTGGCTGTTTTTATCAATCTTCATAATTTTTTAAAGTCACCCTACGAACGAGGTGTATATTTAGAGACAAAATAATGAAAACCAGGAGGATGAATCTTTTCCATTACCCTATTTACAAGTTCAAGTGCTCTGGAGTCACAGATCTAAGGGCTAGACTAGCACATCTTGCTTGAAAAGATAGTATGTTTTATTATATAGCAAATGGAATGAGGCCAGGATTCATCTGCTAAATTTCTCAACTGACTGAAATTTGAATGTATACTTTGTGGAAGTTCCTGATAGCTCAAGGACATCTCTCAAAGACAAAATAGATGGGGATGAAGTACTGGCTGTAGCTGCTCTCCTCTACATTTCCTAGTAACCTAGCCACACATGACAACATCATGTCTGTGAAAGTAGAGTGGAAAGATTCCAGCCATAGCCGGTGTAAATTCTTCTTTCAGCTGACTGCCAAAAAATCTGGTGACTCATAAGGTTTTTCAGCAGCCAACGATAACGGCATGACATTTTCAGCATTTGCCAGCCTAATAGTAATTGTATAAATATAGTTCACTTTATAAAATGACAGGCACTATGTGGATAGTCAATAGACACAAAATAGAGAGAGAAATAACAATTTGGTTAAGGGAATCAATCACCCAAAATAGAGGATCATGACTAAGAAATCTATTTTAAACTTTTATTAAAATTCTAACTTATTCAGAAGACCGATTTACTTTTTGCCTATTTAACAACTCTATTACTGATTGTCCCTTTTTTTAGTCAAATTATCTGTACTGTTCATTTTCTGATATTGGTTTTCATTCCCTTGGTAGATGTGTCACTAGAGTCAGATGAGACTTTCTGGAAGGCACCATCTATAATCCTGTGCTGTTCTCTGGTCAACAGGAAGATCATCTTCCCCTACCTTTGGAACAGGTATCCCAACAATTTTGCAGGTGAATGTGACTGGAGAGCCTTCTGTGACCCGGAAGTGCTTGAGTCTTTTGTCAAATATGGGAGTAATACACTTGCCCGTAGGGATCTCATCATGTTGGATTTCATCATCAGATTCATCCACAGGGGTCCGTTCCAAGCGAAATTCTATTTCATTCATCAACCTCTGCTCAAAGTTTGAAATTTTGTACTCCTGTCAAAATGGCAACACATTTCAGTTTCACTTTCTATGACTGAGGAAGAAGGTGTCTATCAATATAGTTTGAGGATACAACTTTTCAAGGTTCAGATGTTAGAGTTTTAGCATGGAACCCCAATAAAAGAGACATGTTCCATTCCCAGGTCCTCACCATGGAGCACTAAAGGAGATTTCAGTGTCTCTACTATAATCCCAAACTGCCTTAGTGAATCCTGAATCCTCACCTTGAGCCTGGAGCCCCAGGAGAATCCTGTAGGGAATGGAATGAAGATGGAATGTAATTTCCATAACTGCTATTATCATCCAATTTAATATGCAGAACGGCCTATTTAGTTTTGATAAAGCTGTATGACTAACTTCCAGTCTCTACCAGACTTTCTCATCTGCTGGGAGAAAAACCTGTCTTGAACAAGTCAATTGCCTTCATTGTATTGCTCTGTCTTCTCACAACAAAACTATTTCAGATGACTTTCTTTTATTACGGGATCATTTCCTTATCACCCATCCTTTTGCTAACAATTTCCAGTTAGGCTTATTGTCATTGCTCCACTATTAGATTACTATTGTCAGGTTCTCCAAATTTGCCAAATTAAATAGTCATTTATCTGTTCCTAACATTTCTGACCTCTCAGCATCATTAGACAGAATGCTACCTTTTCCGTTTTGAAACATTTTCTTCTGTTGGTTTCCATGACACCAGGAATGGTTTTCTTTCTCTTTCTCCAGCTGCATTTTTTTTTTTAAATCAATCTCCATTGTTAGCTCCCATTCCTTGGTTGGTAATCTTATAGCTCCAGAAACTTCCTGTATGTTGACACCTCCCAAATTTATATCTCCAAGCTTGGTCCTTACCCTGAACTCATATACCCAGTGATCTACTCACATGTGGGTCAAACACCCAGCAAACTACTCTGCATCACTTGTTGGGTACCTAATGGAACATCAAATTTAGTCTAGTCCAAATAACACACACTGGCTTTCTGTTTCCCAGAGATGTTCTTCCCCATCTCAGGAAATAGGCCACTTTTCATCCATACTGGCTAACCCAGTGTTTTTCATACTGTGTATAGTGAAAACTAAGCTCTGAAAAATTTCAAGCTATATTTTGCTAAAATAAAATTAAAATGAATTATTATATATGAATATATACAATGAAAATGCAAGAAAACAAAATGTAAACATACCCTATTTATATATGTATAAATGTAAAACTGTAAATATAAAAAGGCATGTAAAAGTGTTATTTAATAGAGGTAAATTTTGTTAAATTTCCATAAAATTTTCTAAATAGTTATTCTTAATTTCTGTACTTATCTCAAGGTGTAAAAATCTTGCCAACTGCCACAGATCCTCAGACCACACTGTGTCTGCCAGGTCAAACTTTTAGTCTAGAACTTACTCTGGATTCATCTTTCTCCCTCACTTAGTGATGCCCTACCAAGTTTAAATGTCACCTCCTTAAAGCAGACTTTTCAGACCACTTCACCCAAGGTAACTCTCCATTCTATTTCTCTACATAACACTTGTTGCTCTCTAGTATTTTTCCGGCTGGTTTATTAATTGAGAGGTCACATATTTCTAAGCACTGGAACATCAACTCCACAGAAGCAGAGGTCTTGTCTGTCTTGCTTCTCTGTCAACAGCACCTGAATAGTGAGTTCCTGGGCAGGTGTTCAATGAGTATCTGAATAATGAGTGAATAAATGAATGACATGGAAAAATCACTTGTTCCAACACTATTGAATCTTTGAGGAAACTGGAATAATATGCTTGGGGTGAGAGTGAGGTCTTTAGTTAAACTTGTGACTCAGATTAACCACAATTTTTAACTTAGATGGGTAGAGATAGTATTAGAATCCTCCTGAAACGGAATTTGAAAGCATATGAGTCATTTTATTTCTTCACCTTGTGAGATAGGTGCCAAATAGAATTTTATTAGATTTTAAATTATATTCACGAAGAATAACTCATATAGCTCTCAAGTTTCTCAGCCCCAAATCCCCAGGCCATTCTATTTCAGTGCTAGCCACTATTTTAGGGGACTCCTGCTTTAAGCTAAGAGACCTCCAGAGTTCCTTCTTCTGCATGGCTTGTAAAGGCTGGTAATTTCCTAGCTAATTATATTGTCAGAGTAGTTCTAGGAGGAAATGAATTTCTGAAATTCTATTTTGAAAATATGAACTTATTTTTCCAAGAATTGTTATCATGCATGGTGGTAAATAATGAATATATTACCCTTCAGGAATACAATGGGTGACATACATAACCTTTGAACGCCTGCCTGAGAATATGAATGCCACTTTGTCTTCATGTTTTCCAAACAATTAATTTTTTTTTTTAAGATTTATTTATTTATTTGTGCATACAGAACTGGGGTACAGGCCAGAGGCTCAGGGGCGGTGAGAGGCTTCACCAGAGACAGAGTGGGGAGCAGAACAGGCAGATGGACGAAGTACACTGCTGAGGGAAGCAGCGGGCGGGTCAGGAGAGGTCTGGCTCGCCATGTGGTCTCCTCCGGGGCAGGCGGGAATTGAACTCATGCGGAAGTGGCTTCAGATTCTCAGTGCTGTGCTTTAACCCGCTGTGCCACCAGGGAGGGCCTCCAAACAATTAATTTTAGGGACTTGATATTGTCCAACAGGGACCTGATTTTATAAATATTTGAACGGATTCATTCAAAAGAACTACAGAAGCAAAATAATGAAAATATGAATATTTTGTACTACTATAAATACTTATTTATCGATTATATATTATTTCACTAGTACTACAAATGAGAGGTGATGAAAACAGACCTTCAATGTGTTATTTGAAATAAACTATTCATAAGTCCTTCCTGGTGGCTCAGGAGTAAAGTCTCACCTATTATTGCTAGGGCCTGAGTTCAACCCCGACCAGGGAGGTGACTCATATGGCACAGCAGACCTCTCTTGTCACCTGCTGCTTCCCCTCAGCAGTGTATTTCAGTAGATCTGTCTGTTCTGCTCCCCACTATGTATCTGGTGAATCCTCTCACCAGCCCACACCTCTGGTCTACACCCCAGATCTTCTAAGCAAAAATAAATAAAATAAAACCTTAAAAATAAAAATAAATGAAAAAAAATCGGATTGACTTCACCCACATCATAGCTGAGTAGAAAGGTTGGGAATCACTTTCTTCTCTGAAAACAATTAAAAATCCATATTTGTTCAAAAGACGATTCAGAAGTTCCCTGACAAAGTCTCAGGTCTTCCCCTCAGAGGACTTGCACTAAAGTTGTTGTCTCACTGCAGGGTAGGAGCGGAAGGAGGCAAGGGGAGTGTGGCCAGAAAGTAGGTCCCCCAGCCAGAGAAACGACTGGACAGTCTGCCATCCACAGGCCTACCCCTGTGTAGGCTGCTCTGTGATGGGCTTGGTGAAATTCCCTAGAGGACTTTCAAAAAGGGAGTGCAGTCACATGGGTTTGGCTGCAAGTCTGGCTGGCAACACTGCCCCTTCCATGACCAGTTCACTAGTTTGTCAAAGAAAACTCTCTTCCCACCCTGCTACCAGAAGTAAATGTCCCCTGTCTTATTTGGTTCTCTTAAATTCCTAAAAAAAAAAAAAAAAAAAAGTATTGTTATTATACTGCAAAACAATACAAAAACAAACCATTATAAACCAGAGTGATCTGACAGAGGAAAGAGGCAAAGAGGGATCCGAAGAAGAACGGAGGAATGTGGGGGCCATGGTGATGGTGGATGGAGGAGGGGGGAGTTAACATGGCTATAAAATGAACAATGATGTAAAAGAGAGAATTAAAAAAGAGAGAAGAAGAAGAAGTAAATGTCAAAGAGTCTCCAGGCAAAGCCAGGCCAGGCTCCAATAGCAGAGGGGGCCCTGGTGGGAGAAGGAACAACACCCCCTTGGAAAGAGTCAAGAGGACAGAGCTAGTGGCTGGTCCCTTTATGAGGCAACAGTGGTGGCGACGGTGGTGGCCATTGCCTGTGGTCATAGCCAGGTGACAGGGCAGGCAGCAGGCACCCTGGTGGGCACCCCCTGCCTGGCAGTCCTAGTGAGTCCCAGAGTAATAGCCCTTGAGGCAGACACAGCCGCCTCACCAGGAGACTCATGTTTCATAGATTATGGTCAAGTTCTACGGTGGAGTGGGAAGTTAGGAGAATTGAAACACCCATTGTAGCTTGCTATGGCTGGAGAGGAGAGGAGGCAGAGATGACAAACCTCACTTCTCAACTAAGTTGAGACTGAGTGTTGAAGCCTCAGGTTCTTCTGCCTCTACCTCACATCAAAGGAAACTAAGAAAAGAAACAAAGTTAAATTGCCACATCCCAGCCACACAAAATCAAGTAAGGCAACACGCCTGGGAAGCAAGGAATCACTGCACACAAGCTGGGAAAGCAAAAAGAGAACAACAGGAGTTCTGGGTTCTATATAAAGGGTATAGAAATAAGAGGATCTAGACTTCAGATAAAGATTTTAAAATGAAAATATTAATGCTAAGTGAGGTACTGGAAGAAAGTAGGTCTCAGAAAGGAAATCCTAGAACAAAGAGAAGTCTTTACTAAAGGGAATGCATGCTAGAAGAACACAAAAAGAGACTCTGGATGAAATAAAATACTTTAAATAGAATTAAACTGGTAAAAGGAAGAATTTCAGAAAAAGAAGACTCAAATTTACCAATCATCCAGTAGAAAAAGAGCAACAAGGAAAAATGAGGAAACTCATTTTTAGGAATACTGTCAGACAAAATAAGAGGAGGAGACATAAGAATAGTGAGTATTCTAGGAGGGGGGGAGGGAGAGTTGAGAGGGAGAGAAGAAAGCAGAGACCCTTTTCAAAGAAATACTTGCTGAGAATTTCCCAAGCCTAATGGGTGAACTAAGCTCAGAAGGGCACAAAAGGGAGAGAATACCCCCATTTCTAGTGCAAAATAACTTATGCTAAGACACATCATTGTTAAATGATCAAAAGTCAAAGGTAAACAATTACAGGAAGGAAAAACAAGGTAATTTAC